TATATATATATATATGTAAAACACAATCTTACAAAAATTTATCCTGCAGCTTGCAGCAACATTGCTGCAACGTTATTGTTACAAACTTCTGTGGCATGAGTGTTTTCTTTTTCTTCACTGATTATATTTTCTTAATTAGATTAGATCTTAATTCTTTGTGGTCTTATGTCGAATTAAATTCAATAATCGTCAATCTATCATATAATTCATCAATTCATTATCGTTGAATACAATATAATATTATTATTATATTATATATGAATTATATACAATTATAATCAGCAAACTATATTTTTAAAATCTATATTTATATAATTTCTTCAATTAATAAAAATTTTTTGATTCATGTTAAAATCATGTTTAAATCAACCGATTAGATAAAGTTTAGGACGAGTTACCTACTTATAATTCTTCGCTTACTTTCAAGAAATAGTTTTTTTGGACCACAAAAGGTTATACAGTGTGTTTCATTTTAATTTCCCTAGGCAAATTCAAAAAATATGGAAGATATGGAAAAACGTTTCAGACAAAAGTTTTATGACTTTGAGGGGAATCTAAGATAGTGCCGTGTTAGTTTGCTTGGGTTTGTGTTGTCAAAAAAAAGAACAAGGTCACTTTGAATTTTTTAGATGGATCTTCCATTTTTTATTTTGGTGACCTTGCCTTGAGAGTTTTTTAAACTATAATAAAATATTTTTTCATAAAGTATTTCTCGAGTTATAAGGCTTGAAAATTACAGTATCGCTGGCATTAATATTATCCAAGGTTTAGCATTACCCAATTGCTAATATCTTTCAACTGCTAATATCTTTCAAGGTCATAACTTTTACAACATATGTAAAGGTAAAATGTTATTTCTCTTTTTTTTACAATAAAAATGAAAATAGGAGAAATCTCCCTAGTACAATATTGCATAAAAGATGCAGCAATATTGCAGAGATTTTGCAGCGATATTGTTGCAAATTCTGTGCTGTATGAACTCCCATTACCTTGATCTTGTATATTGTCGTGACTCTGAATAATATTTGAAAGGCTTTAGCCGTCGCGTCGATTAGGTAATACTTACTAACTTTCCCCTGGTAAAAAAATTTCGCTGAAATTATTCCACGTTTTAGAACATTTCAATGAAATTGCTGAAAATTTGCTGAAATTTCACTGAATCTGAATTTTTCAGTTAATATATTAAAAAAATCGCTGAAATTGAAATTTCTCTGAAATTTTGTTGAAATGAATTTTTTAACTAAAAATCGCTGAAATTTTAAACTGAAATTTTTCTGAAATGCTGGCAAGTGTTCCAAAATGTGAAATAATTTCAGCGAAATTTTTCCACCACTCAAACCTTGTAACTCGAGAAGAACTATTTATGAAAAAATATTTTATTATAATATTTAGAAAAGCTTTCGAGGTAAGGAATATGTAATGAAAAATAAGAGATTTTAGGATTTTCAAAAAATCCATAAAATCGATCTTGCTCTAACTCTCTTTGACGACAGCAGATCAAATAAATGACACCATCTTATATTATATCGTCTTCGAAGTCATAAAACTTTTATTTGAAACGTTTTTCCGTATCTTCCATATTTTTAAAAATACTTGCCTGGGAAAATAAAAATGAAACTATAACACTGTATGTATAATGATCACAAAGAACTGTTTGACGAATTCACAGATTTGTCATAGCAAAATACGCTACAAACAGGCAATATAATATAAGTAAGACATATAGACAATATAATAAGACAATATAAATATTAAAATTGATTTTAGCGTTGGATGTGGCAATACCAATGGATTCGGATAAAAAGGACAATGCTAACATAGCTCTGCTCGATGAATCAATCGTAGTCACATCTGAGAGATATCCCACGTCCGAATTCAAACAATTTTACATCATTCTGAAGCGCGCTCTACTTTTCAGTCGTAGAGATTGGGTAGGTGTTAAAGAAAGATTACTCGCCTTTCTAACTATGAGTTTTATGATATTCGCAGCAAGGTTGCGCGAATCTATTTATGAAATATTCATCATCTCTAATGTATCTTCAAATTTTTATATATTGTTTAATTTTAATACCTATATATATATATATTCTTCTAATATGTTTTGCAGACTCTCATGTATCTCCGACTTTTCGCTCACATTCTAGTAGCAGGACTAATCAGCGCACTGTATTATGATATCGGAAACGATGGCGCTAAAGTACTTAGTAATTTGGGTTTCTTGTTCTTCAACATGTTGTTCCTCATGTATACTTCCATGACAATCACAATTCTGTCCTGTAAGTTGCTTGTAATTTACACTACCTTGCTATCGCGAAGAGCAACATTGATACATTATCCTTATAAATCATTTACTTATTTCTTTTTTTTATTTGTAGTTCCGCTAGAACTGCCTGTACTTTTGAAAGAAAACTTCAACAGATGGTATTCTCTAAAGTCGTATTATTTGGCGATTACTATTTCGGATCTACCGTTTCAGGTAAGATTTATCGGATAACGACAGAAAAGAAATAACATATAGTTGCACAAAGGAATAAATAATTATTTTCTCATTCTTTGCTTTTCAGACTATATTTTGTATATTATACGTCACCGTTGTGTACTTCCTAACGAGTCAGCCAGCGGATTTAACGCGATTTTCTATGTTCTTGGGCACTTGTTTATTGATATCTTTTGTTGCGCAATCAGTGGGTCTCGTGGTAGGTGCGGCAATGAATGTACAGAACGGCGTGTTCCTCGCGCCGGTGATGTCGGTGCCTTTCCTCCTCTTCTCAGGATTCTTTGTCAGCTTCGACGCAATTCCGGTCTATCTACGATGGATTACGTACCTCAGTTACATCAGATACGGTTTCGAGGGAACCGCTTTGACCATTTATGGCTTCGGCCGAGAGAAACTAAAGTGTTTTCAGGTAGATTTAAATGCTGCATTCGCAATATTGACTGTGACAGGCGTTGCTGAATTTTTTTGTGCATTTTAGGTATATTGTCACTTCAAGGATCCAGAGACGACTCTGGAAGAATTGGACATGCTTGACGCTGACTTCACTTTAGATATTCTCGCTCTTCTGCTCATCTTTGTCGTGCTGCGAATTGCCGCGTATCTCTTCCTGCGTTGGAAGATTAAGACCGCCCGATAGATTATCAATATATATAAACATTGTAAAATCAGATGTGGTTACAAATTGTGCTTAATACAAGTGTTATCATCTATCGGGTAAAACCTCGCAGGCAAAAACGGACGCATTTTTCGTAATCTCATAAATTATATTTAAAAATGGCGATACGAAGACTCGGTTCCGGCGTTTCGCGACAATAACAATCAAAAAATAAGGAACTTTACGCAAACAATGGATTCTCGCGAGAACTTCTCGATGAGAACTCTCGCGAAAATAATTATTCATTGTCGAAGAGGCATTAGTACATTTCGAAAGTATCACGAAGTATGATCTACTTTTTGTCACATTTTAGAGTTGCTAAAGTTTAGTTGATAATAGGACCAATACTAATATAACTTATTTATATATATCCTTAATTTAATAACGACGACGGCTGGTAGTTACGATTCCAACATTTATTCAGGGTATTATTCTATACTATTTATATATATATATATACACACACACACATATACATATACAGGGTGTCCACAAAGCTCATATAGCGGGTTAAACAGTCAAAAGAGGATTTTTCGACTCAGTTTAATCCGCTCTACTTACATAAGCGCTTTGTCAAAACTTATCGAACACTCTGTATATTCGAAATATACTATATCTTCCCTTTTTTACTATGTCAATACTCTCTAAATCTTTTAGAATGAATCTCATTCTGAAAATGAAATCTCAGTTTCAAAGATTGAAAATCATCCTTTTAAGACTTTTTCAAGAACAAGATTCCACTCCAAAAAATTTAGAGAGTATATATATTTTCGTTAGAATGCAATCAAGCATTGATCTTGAATTTATGATCAACTAAAATTTAAGCATTAAATTCAAGCGTAAAATCAGCGCGAGCGAGCAGTGACTTAAGGTATTATCAATTATTTGGAATATATACCAAAAATCTGGAACTGTTTTGAATATCAACAATCGAAACAAAATAATATTTAAAATATATTCTTGAACGTATAAATCTTTTAAGAATACATCTTTTTTTTAACACTTTAGCTCATTTCGGACAAGATAGTCTTATTTTAAAAAAATACATATTCAGGTTTTCAAATATTTGAAATGAAAGAATCGTTAGAAGATCAAAAGTTTCAAAACTTTCAAGATTCTTCTCAAGCTTTCAAAAATTTTTCAGTTTCGTACAATATTTAAAGAAATTCAAAGCAATTTTTTTAAACACTTTAATTCGTTTGAAAAAAGAAGAATTCAAATGCTTATTACTAAATTGTGCGGCTGAACGAAGGCAAAATGAAAGGATCAACTCGCACGTATTCCTCGAGAAGGTCTTATTAATTGCCCTCAATTGTGCCTAATCTGTGTGAACAAACACAAAGCCTTAATCAATGAATGTCTCACAAACGACCATTCTATTTTATCCGATGGCTGTGAGCTTCATGATGCAAAGAAAAAGAAGAAAGAGTTAAGGAAGATCAAACGTGAATAATTGTGTTCTTAAAATTAAGGTTGGAAACGACGAACGTCCGAAATGATTTATAACCGCATGAATTTACACACACACACACACACACACACACAACTTGCCAGATTAAGTTTGCACATTGAAGATCAAATGTTTTTGATGCTTTACAAGAGAAAGACGGTTCTATCGAGCTATCAAAATGAGTTTACACACTCGTTTAAAAGCTTGTGAATATTCTCAGTCACATTCCTAAGCAAAACAACAAGTCATGACAATATCAAGTCAAAATGACATTAAAATAAATCGAATACATGATTGAAACATGATTAAAAGTGATTTTTAATCATTTTAACGTCATTTTAATGACTATTTTGCTTAGGTTTCGATGTCGAAGATAATAGCGTGCAAATGTACATAAAGATATTTTTTAGATAACTTAGAACAAATAATGGCAAATAATTCTTTCCGCGTTACTCTGTATCTGTATCAGTGCTCAAAAACTGATGCAAAAAACAAATTTTTATACATTTTCGAAAACAAATTAAATTGATTTGTTATTGTATATAAATTGTTACTATGTTTCATATACAGAATGTAAGATTACAAACAAGCGTGAGTTAATTTTTCTAGTGTTAAATCGTTAAGTGGTAGAAAGAATAAAACTTCTAAAGACGACAAAGGAAAACAGCAATTTAAGATGACTCTATGTCGTTTTAAATTAATAAAATTCTTATTTGTATATTTTCTTATAACTCACCAAAGTTAAGGATTTGAATCGACGATTTACAAATATAAATATATTAATAAAAATATATATAAAATATATAAAAATATATATTAATGCGATTGCGGCGCTCAAATGGATAAAGTCCTTATACATGTATATTTTTACTTATTTGTTAAATGAAACGAACAATAATCAATTGATAACATAATTGATTGTTAATATAAATATACTTTTGTAAAAGAAGAAGTGTTGAGTAAATATATCTATAATTATGCCGAATTGGCATCATCCTTACTATAGTTTATACTGTATAAAATACTGAATAAAATATACTTTTTGTAATACTATAAATTGCAATTTCAATAATCTTTGTTGTATAATAATTGTTTTAATATTTTTTGTATACATATATCTAATTATTTTATTGTATACATATATCTAATTGCTTACAGATCGATTGCCTATAAGGACAACACGAATTTTGCGCACGAATATAAAATTAAGGCTAAAGTGTACATGAAAATAATTTGTTTTTAAGCAGTGTAAAAATTTTAAAGTAGAAAATCTGTGTTCTTAAAATAGAGAATAGTGTTTGTAGGTAATCAATCTGTAGGCAATAATATTATATGTGCAATGTAGTTTGTGAACAATAGTGTCATGTGTGCAAATGTGCTTTTTTCTCTTAATTTTATATGTATTTGTGTGCAGTAACACATAGGCAATTATTGGTGTTTGTAGGCAACGAGGTCCTCTCATTTTGTTAAAGGCTTTAAAAATTTAGCTCGATATATAGATTTGAAAATAATTTTGTTGAATCATCAAAATAATTATATATAGGACTCAAAATGATTGCTAGAATGTCAAAACATTTTGCAATTATTCATTATGTTTCAGATTCTTATGTAATTATTTATAATCCAATAAAATTATTTTCAGATTTGTAGCTAATTAAATTTGGAAATACTCCAACAAAATCATTTTTTTCATATAAAAGTTTGATCTTTATTTAAGAAATTAAATTAAAAACATAAAAATATGTATCTTATTATATACAAGGTCCCATTTTTAAAGAACCCACTCAAATATCTCAGAAACACTACGTTAAATCGAAAAATGTTTTAGACAAAAGCTTTGTGACTTCGAGGGGGACTAAGATGGTATCATTAGTTTGACCTTGGATGGCATTGTCAAGGTCGAGATAAAGTCATTTTGAATTTTTTAAATGGAACCCTCATTTTTCATTACATTATTCTTGTAACTTACCTCAAGAGCTTTCCAAAACGCTATAACTATATTAAGTTTATTTTCATTAAATACTTTTTGAGTTCTAAGATTTGCAATTACAGCACTGCCAGCATTATCCAAGGTATCCAACCGACGACTAAAACCTCTAAAATGTTGTTCAAGATCATATTGATCTGGATAATATTGTTAATAATTTATCAAGACCAAGAACAACATTCAAGAGATTTTAATCGTCGGTCGGACCTTGAGCAATGCTAATGCCGACGATATTATAACTTTCAAGTCTTATAACTCGTAAAGTATTTAATAAAAAAATATTTTATTATAGAATGTTGAAAAATTCTCGAGATAAACTAGAATATCTAATGAATATCTAATGAAAAATGGGGAATTCTATTTAAAAAATTCAAAGTGATCTTATCCTGACCTTGACAACGCCACTGAAAGTCTAAACTAAATCAATGATCTGGTGTCCCTCTCGAAATCACAAAACTTTTATCTGAAACATTTTTCGATTTAACGCAGTGTTTCTGAGATATTTGGATGGATTTTTAAAATGGGATACTCTATATATAAATGTACATATGTTACATGCGTTAAAAAAATTATATTTTAATATTATATTGTATCGCAATACACTTGTGTCACGTAAGGATGATCTTTTCTTATTTTTAACTTTCGATCAAGTAAATAATTATGAACTCTTTTATGTTTTCTTATTGGACAATATCTGCAGCATTTTATTTATCTGCAATTGAAAGACTTATGTATCACAAAAGAGATACACATTATATCTTATATATGTAATATGACTGTCAATGATTAATTAATATTAATATTAAGTGTGGGAAAAAGTTCCGCGTTTTTCCCGTTAGATGTAATGGGAAAAACGCCACGAAATTTTTCCCACACCTAATATTACAGAATGATTAATTAATATTACAGAACAAAGAGTAAAATGTATAAAAAAATAATGTATGACATATACATCAACATCATATGTCAATATGACGTATTGTATGTAAACATAGTGTTTTAAATATAACTGCTTTGCAAATATAATCTGTTTTTGCATGCAAAAATTTATATAACACTATAATCATAAAATGGTGAATGGTGAATAAGAAATAATTAGTCGAAAAGCAGATCATTACATTTTTAAGATTAACTGGCTCATAATCATACATTACTAGTATAAAAACGGAATTTCCGTTGTTTTACTAATGATTATTAATTCTCTATACGCGTTTATCATTATAGATATAATGGAATTATCAAGAGCTATTAGGTATAAATCATGTGTGTGTGTGTGTGTGTGTGTGTGTGTGTGTGTGTGTGTGTGTGTGTGTGTGTGTGTGTGTGCGTGCGTGCGTGCGTGTGTGTGTGTGTGTGTGTGTGTGTGTGTGTGTGTGTGTGTGTGCTGCGTGTGTAAGAATTGATATACAATAATAATAAAAACTTTATATACTTTTTATTAGAACATTTTTTTTTCTGAAAACTATATAGCAAAGAAGAATATATTGGCAATACGTGATACAATTTACGAAAATTATTATATGCAATATACTTTTTATTAACAGACATTATGCAAAACAAAACAATGGAAAATGGAATAGATTTTATTTGCAGATATAAGTATAAAAATAAAGTTCTTCACTTTCTGTATTATTTGAATATAAAGTAAATTGTATTACTTTTAATAAAACAATCAAAGTTCTGATATTTTGCAAATTAATAATCATAATTATGATGTTAAATAGTAATTAATAAAATTTGCATCATACGTAGTACATCCGTTAAATCCTGATTTTTTTTTTCTATGTTATCTTGCAGCTTGTTATCACGTTTGATTTTGTTCTTTTTCCTACATAGCTCTGTTTTGTTTCAGTTTGAAATAACAGTTTAAGGATAAAAAATATATGATAGACAAAGAGTCAACTGACTGTCGTATTGTTTATGGAAAATTAAAATTGTGTCAGATCAACGTGCACGTCAGATACACGTGCACAGATATATCTATTCATTGCCATGGACTGTCCATAAATGATAATAATTGGGCTTTGTCTATCGTGCACTTTTATCTCAAGTATTAAGACATATTTGCATTGCTTATGAAAATAGCGTAATATCATATAATAATATTTTTTTAATAATAAATTTTTTTAAGCAAAATGGCAACACTGCGCAGTTGATTGAAATAAGCCGGTTTTCAAGATTGGCATACAAGATTATTACAGTTTGACCTAAAACAAAAATTTTTATTTTCTACGTAACATTTACTAAAGTAATACGTAAGGATGTTCAGAAATATGCATTTTTGTAAAAATGATTTGAAAAAAAACAATCATTTTTAACAAAAAAAAAGTTTATACAAAAATGTTAATTATTATAATAACAATAATTAGTTCATAATCGTAAAATCATTAGTTCTTTAGATAATTATCAAAAGAAGATTTTTTTTTGAAAGTTTCAAGTGAATTGAATGAAAATTATGGAAGTTATGATGTAAATCGATTTAAAAAATTTTGATGAAAAAAAACGCGTTTAAAGTTTAAATCGTGAGGGGAGTCAAAAAACTAATTTTGTAAATATTGAACTCTGTAAAACTAGCAGGACCAAATCAACAGAATCAAATCAGATCTATCGGAATTTTTAGTACTCATTTTGTATTAAATGGTACCATTAATGATTTTGTAAGATTTCGGAAAGAATCGTGGCGATGCTAGCCTAACGTTAAGCTGGCACAATTCAAAATAAAAAAAAAAGAGAAAAATAATATCAGAAATCAATAAGATTGAATTTGTACTATTTTGTATTACCAAAAACAATTCTATATTATGTATCATTTCTAAGAAAACAGTGGCGCTGCTAATTTAATATTTAAGATGACAGAATCATAAAAAACAACACAAGAGCAAAAATTAACACAACTGAATTTTTACTAATTTATATCATTAAAAGTAAGTAATATTTTAGATGTTTTCTCTTTAAAATTATTATTTATTAGTATGATATTCATTAACATGAGATACGTGTTTTGCGAAAAAAATTTGAGATTTTTTTGAAGTTACTCACGCTTGTAAATTGTAGAAATTCATAAAAAACGTTGTTAATGCGAATATTTAATTGTTAAATCGTCGAACCATTATCTGTTTTTTTTTATTATTTAGTTGTACAAAAAAATGCAAGATCGATTTTAAAGATTTTAAATTATTCTATGGATAAGTTCTGAGAATGTAATCTTTAAAATTGATTTCAAATTGATCTCTTGCATTTTTTTGTACGACTAAATAATAAAAAAAACAGATTTTTAAAGCTGAAACATTACTCTATTAAGTGATATAATCGCTAATTAAAAAAAAATATAATATATTATAATCTAAAATACAATCAATGGAACTTTGAAGAAGAAATAAAAAGAAATCCTTTAACTTAATTTTGAAGTTATTGAAAAATTAAACAAGGTCAGCAATTCTTTAGCAATACTTAAGTGCATATAGAAGTTTAATGAAGAGCGAACTTATTTTAATTGTTATTTTAATATTCTTTCTATTTTAATATTCGAATTTCTATCGATAATGTATGTAAATTAGAGTCGAGACATTATCATCTCCTATAAAATATAAAAACGAAAAGATTAGGACCATTTAAAAAAAAAATGGATATACTAACTGAGCACGAGCATAGCATGATGGACAGCGTGCGAGTCTATCATGCTAGGGAATTCCGGTTCGATCCAAGAAATTTTCACGTAACTCCTCTTTGGCGATTTGATAAATAACCAAGAGTATCTATTGCTAAGAAAACCTCTCAAAACTGTCCAGCGTTAAATTGTAGGTCCCTTATGTCTCTATACAACCTGCGTGCGCACCACAAGTATACGTATGAAAAATAGGCCCGGTCCCGATATTGGGATGTTGCGCCATCGGAATGAATGTTCCAATTAGTGATCAAGTCTATGAAATTTAATGGATGGAATTTGAATAAACAAAACTTGGCTTTCAATTGAAATTCTTATTATTGTATAGAAAAGCTAGGTCATTTTATCAATAGACAACCATTGCTATAATTTTATAAGATTATATATTACATTCATTAAATAATGGATATATCTCTAATGTAAATGTATCTGTTAGTGACCGTTCGATTTTATTTTGTCTCAGTTAGTGACTATGTTTGGCGTGATTAGTGCCTGGATAATCAACAGTGATTATCGAGATTGCAATATGTTTTTAAGCAAAGTTTCAAGAACTTGAAGAATCAAACGAATAAATGCGATTTTTATGCAAAAATTTACCTATAACAAGAAAAATACAATTTTCGATAAAAAAATAATTTTATAAAAGTAATATATAATTAATTAATATGATTAATAATTGATATTAAAATCACAATATCCCAAATAATGACTTTCTTAATGAAGACTATGAAACCAATAATTATTTTAGATCACTCTGTATAGACTTTTTTAAGGTTAAGATCCGCAAAACAAATTAATATGAAGATAAGCTAAAATTTTACAATAACATAAGATTATTTCTTGCCGCACATGAAAAAAACCACATCATTTCAAACTATTTTATCTAGTCTGTTACTATTTTGACACATATGTTTTTCGGTACATATTAGTGATCCCCACGATTATTTTATTATCAATCTTGCAGTACATTTGCACTTGCTGTTAACTTCTCCCACGTCTGATTAATGTAAATGATCCTTATTTTTTATAAAACGTGTAATTAAATACAGACTTCAATTGATGCAACTCCGTCACGAATTCAGCATATCATAAGAAGTTAACGACTGTTACACTATGTCTTGAATGACAACGCGACTTTACATGAGCTTATACTAGTAAAATAAAGTAAACAAATAATAAAAATATAAACATGTACTTTAAAATTAGAACGTTAAAAAGTTACTGGCGATATGCATTGCAGAATTTCCTTGTCATTCCAATAAATATATGTGTCTGATCATTAACTAGGACATGGTCGTGATACGATGATATAAAAATATTAAAGATTAACAGGTCAATCTTAAGCAGAATCGTAATCCCGTAAGACTTGTAAGAACTTACAAATGCTTATAACTTTGTGCAATCTTTATATATAGCTTTTTGCTATTATTATTATGGCTTTTTGCAATTAGAATAATAAAAATGAAAGGAAAAGACAAGGAATGTGTTTCGCACATTCTCTTGCGATTTAATATCTGTTCAAACGATTTGTCTACTTTACATGTGACATTTTATTCGAATCTAACAAACAGACTTTATTGTATTAAAAATTAAATTAGAAAGAAATTAATTTACTTACAAAAGATTTATTTATAATTGATAAGTTTCTGATTCAGTACAATAAGGCCTGTTTGTTAGATTCGGATAAATTCGTAAAATTAAGCCAATTGTTTAAATGGATATCGAGTCACAAGTAAGATACATCAATTTCCTCTTTTTCTCCTCTCGTCATTGCACTCTTTTCATTATTATAGCCAACAATCATGCGCGATACGCTTTGTGCGTGCTTCCTTTAAGCAAATTAAACGTGATCTTGTTAAAGACAAGATTAACATTTTGGGAACAAGTCTCTCACCGTGAAAATTTAATTTTATTCTGAAACACGCACGATTTCAACAATTGATTCGAATTTTGTAAGAGTGTTATCAAAATGTTGCGGGGAGTCGGCTGCGAAAGAAATCGATATTCGAGCAATGGCGCCAAAGCCACAGAATCCAAAAGTCATTTCGTTATTTTCACTCGTTAGAACACGATCAATATCGAAAATATTGAAATATGACGTCTCGTTCGTTAAGGTCTCATATTTTGGCCACAAGTAGCGACACTCTGGTCATGACACTCATCACGGCTGTGTCTGCGGCGTAACGAAGAGCGTCCGTTGCGAGGCTCATGTCGTACACATACACCGACAGAAAGAGATATAGCTGGTGTGAATCGCAAGCCAGCGTTATTTCTGAGTCAGTCTATCGTCGTTGCTAGTGGCGGTGTGCTGAGTTTCCTACGTTCTACCTTCTTGCAGTTCCTCTGTCACAGTAGTGTCAATCGTGTCAATTGGCGAACCGCGGCCGATAACGTGAGTTATCCGTGAATCATCATCGTGTTTTTCTGCAGCAATAAGAACGCCGGGAACGTGAAAAATCGGAGTAAAAAATTGAAGCATTTCGAGACGAGCTCGTAAATGTCAATCGATGACTTACGACATGCAGAATTTTTCACATACTTTTTGGAATATTCCTTTATCTTAGCAAATTTTTTTCAGTCAATTTGAAGATAGTTTTGTTTAAAATACTGAGCGACTAGTAATCTTCAAGTTGCGAATAATTGAAGTTCGGAGATTTTGAGAAATTATGTTTTAAATTTTTATTGCGAGTGAACAACCACTTTATTTTTTACTTAACTTCATCTGAATTCGTTTCAATGATTACAAAAATAATTGAAATTAATTTTCAAAAAAATAGAAAAATAAAAAATTTGAAGCGAAGTATTTAGCGCAAAACTTATCGTATTTTAAATATTTTTCGCAACAGAAAAGTCAATGAAGTAAAGAAATAATAAATAAAGAACAAAACAAAATGTGCAATATAGTATGTATTAGAAAAATGAATTTTATATTATATTTCTATTTCGTATTTACTTACGTTACTTTTTTACGCAGCTCCTGTTATCATCGTGTTATTATTGTGTTATCATTGATTAATATGTAATTAAAAGAAAGATAATAAAACGAGTGTAATATTTGATATTATATATGTAAACAATTCAAATAATTTGAAACACATGAAAAATCGTGATTCTGATTAGCGCGAAAAATTTGAAACGCAGAATGCCACAAAGTGCATACCGGAAATGCGTACACAAACAATCCTAATCTTTCCGACGCCGCCACAATGATCTAATCGCAATTCGCAGCACGAAAAAATTATAAATTTAATGCTACTACGTATCATTTAACATGAAAAAAATAATTTGTTACTCCAATTAGAATTATAGCTGTTTCTTATATTTGATAGAAAATTACATATCATACGCATAGAATTTATAACACAAATCTAAATTCTATCTCTATCATCTATATAATTAGACGCAATACATATTCAATATTGCTAGTGCATGCTTGCTAGAAATTTATCTATTTTAATTATTTTTCGTACTTAGATCATTTTCGCTATAACTGAAAGATCACTTTTTTGAATGATTGTAAATTTTAGATCTTATCTCTTAAAGAACATAATAAAAATTATTAATTATTTTATAATATTAATTATTTTGGATAATATATATTTTAATCATAATATATATATAATAATTAGATAATATTGTATATATTTGATAAACAATAACGGCGATATTAAACTATAGAGGAAAATCCTCAATACTAATGTAGGTTTTCTAAAGTGACACCTTATTTCTCAGAAATTAACTACTGCACTTTATTAATACTAATAAAATAATGATCTGTTTATAATGATTATTATTTTATTAATACTTATTTTATTAATACTGTTATATATTTCTTGTGACTTTTACTTTTTTCGTGATTTTCCAGATATTATAGAATCTTAAGACAAGAGTAAATAATTTAAGAGATTTTCATTTATCGATGTATAATAACTTTAATAATTTCATAAGCCGAATATGTGCGCATTTTATTTTTACAAGTTTTAAACAATATTTTTATAAGTTTTCCGATAAAATATGATAAGATTTAAGTGTAACATTTGCAAATGTTTATAACTTTTATTGGACTTTGAAAAGTTTAATGTTATAAATATTGAATTATTAATCTATAAATAATCTGCAGTAATCAATATTTAATTTAGCACCAAAAACCTATTAAGAAATTACCTGACTGGGAGTCCGTCATTCCAATAAAATATCATAAATAACAATACAACTTATGTAAATAGCAACAATTAACGTCATCTATGATCAAAGCCATCGCGATAGGGTATTAATAGTTGAAAGTATAAACAAAATCATCTTATTACACTATTGTAAATGTTAATGTTACCGACAAAAATTTATAATTTTTATTATTAATAATACTATTTTGGGAACGTTTACAGCAATATAAAATATCACTTAAAATATTCAAATTAAATTCTTTATATTATGAACTTGTTTTTGTTCCTGATTTAGACCACTGTGCGCCATTGATTTTATGCACACGAATACAAACACAGAAACCAGTTTTTCTGAAACCCAGCGGTAAAATTAGAAGGAAACACAATCGTCGCAACTGATAGGCTTACTAGCTTGACACGAGAAAACATCGTTGCCCTCGCCTCGGTCGTAATAAATTATAAATAAATCAAGCCCTTCAATCGTGATGACTAAAGCGTGACTAAAGCTGGTAGTTCGATGGCAGTGAATAAACTGTGGAAAGTTGAGTCAGTCCGTAGCTCGTAAAATCGCACGATCGATATTGTATTTCCGTCGAATTAATTCTCGCATTTGGAGTGAGGAATGAAAACAAGACAACAAAGAGACGTTTTTGTGGAGACTTTTATAAAAACTTAATTTTGTTAAATGCACATTTTTAATTGTATTTCAACGTGCATGCAACGAAACTATTATATACGTTCAAAAACTGATCAGGTTTCATATATGATAATAAATTGACTTTATATAAATGTAAGAAACGGAAAGAATTAAAATTTACGTCAGAAATCTCTCGAGAACCAATTATTTATAATAGGTTTCTTGATCTCTTTTTTTAAATCTCGCGATATATTCTACCGTCATCTAATACATACTTATGTGTGCTTATTATTATTAGCTGTAATTCACCGATCGCTCGATCGAATATTCATGCAGCCGAAGTTTAATATATTTCATATGGCGCATGCGTGTAAAATTTCACAGGATGATTATAATCTTTATTATGTTCTACATGTGGCGATTTACACGTGCCACACGTTATGTGAGAAAAGCTGCGTAACCATAAAAAAAAATTAAAAACTGAAAAATATATGAAAGAACGGTACGTCTATTTCCTGGAGAGGAAACTTCTGGCATCCTGAATGATGTAACACGCATGCTATTATAATTTGCTATAATTTGCTATAAAGTTGCCTTTTCATGCAGCCAATAAAAGCTGGCGTTTTATTCTCATCAATTTTATTAGCTGTAATTCACAGAAGTATGAATTCACCGAATGATTGATATATAGTAAAGTTACGTTCAAAATTCGATATTGTTCAACTAATAGCGAAACACACAAAATGCATGATATGACATGTCATGTTCATGTCGTCCATTGTATGTCTTCCAAGATAAATTTTGGAAGCAAAGCAAAGAAAAAATCATGTTCGCTACGATTTTTGAAAATGGGTGCTACCTATCAAGATAGGAAACGCACGTCATTTTGAGTCATTTTCTTCTGTAGCTGTTACAACAGCTGCGTTCAGTTTATTTTCCATTATTGGAAATTTTTTTCGCTGATGAGATAAAATTATTCTCCTAGGTTTCATTTATGTGTTTTTGTCGTACGACAAATATATGTAGGACAGAGAAATCCTCGGATCTCTCTAACCAATCAACAGGTTTGAAAAATTTATCGTATAAAAACGCAAACAAATGAAATATCATCCCTAGATTTAAAAATATCAATCAGTATAAAACGTTTATTAAATGTTGACTTCTGAATTGATGATTATTGATGTAGAATGTAATTCTTAGTCTGATCTTAAGATATTAAGATTATTTACGATCACGAGACACTTGTATTATTTTATTGTTGAAGTTTATTGGTGTACTGACTTATTTTTCTAAATTTATAAAAAAGAAAATTTTTCAAATTCTTCGCTCTAATTAAAAACCACGATTTTTATATTTGTGTTTTACGTTTAAAATATTATATTGCATCATTCTATTTTCTTTTGCTTTTAAATGATACTATAAATTCCATTCGTTTTGTTATACCTTTTCTTAGTTATATACCTTTAGCATGTGTTAGCACATGTAATCAGCATAATGATAAAAATATAGAAATTGTGTAAAAAAAGAGATATAGATAAGAAGCAAAGATGAGACATAAAAATATTAGCATAAAGTTTATTATTTTCTTAATATACATTCCTACACTTTTGTTTTTTTATTTATTCACATTATATTCTGTTTTTTATTTATTATCTCTTAATTGTTTATTAACTTTTCTATATAAAAAATATAAAATACAATAAATTTTGCGCTAATTTCTATGCCTACAATTTCTTTGAATTTTTTGATTATTGCATATTAACTGTTTTTTGTAATTAACTCTTTAATTCTGCTTGAATTCAGTTAAAGTTAAATATAGGGATGCATCGGAAAATATCCGGTATTTTTTTACTATCCGACCGGATAGTTAGATATCATTAGTGTCCGGGAATATATCCAGTTGAAATTTAATATCATTAAATTGTTGAATTTTTCTTATATAAATGTTTTAAAAACAAGTTTGCACATTCCATAATGCTATAATATCTTATATATTGTTACAAAATTACAATCTTTTTCTTTATAGACTTTTTTTTTTTAGAAGACACTCGGAATCCGGTCGGATATCCAGAAAATGTAAAATATTCGATTCAAAGAAATTGCCTTCTCGGATATCCGATCAGATACAGAATATCCGATATTGTATTCTGTCCGGATATCCAATATCCGATAATTTTACGATCTGGTGCATCCCTAGTTAAATAAATAATTCGATAAAATTTAACAATAATTATATTATGTGAGGTGGCGCAATAACATAAAACATAAATGAGAAGGAGCATACAGCCACACACGCAAGAAATTTTTTGCCAAAATAAAAAATATAATTTTACATTTTTAATTTGAAATATATGACTTTGGCAAGAACGCACTTCTTGCATGTGCTCCTTTTCATTTATGTTTTAATTTAAATAATTCGAATTATTCATATTCGTGATGTTTTGTCGATTACTTTCAAAAAACGATTAAAAAAGTGATCAGTCTTGAAATTAGAATCAGTACATTTTGGATTGATTCTGGCGAGCGATCTCCATCACCACTTGATTAGATTCGGCAGCCGAGCCGCCCAGTGACGTGACGTGAAAAATGTAGATATTATATTAGATAGTCCACCATTTTTATTCCTTTTCCCACTCCTTGCTCTGTCCCTATTCCAACTGAACTGTGATGGGTTATAGTCATTACAGGTTATGATTTGTATTTGCTGTTTGAAATTTTGTAGCTCCTTTCATTCCATTTTTGCTCTCAAAATCAGTTGAATATCTATCGTATTAGTGCAGGACCTGAAGAGTATCTGACATTCAGGTTATTTTTAAATAAGATGCCAATTAGGTATGTCAATTTGAAGAAAAGAAATTTCTCATCTGCGAAGAAGTGTAGTGATGTTTCACAAGTCATATATTTATTTTACAGCAATACAGCAAGTTGTCGACGAATATTATCCACAGGAAATTTAAATAATCAAATACCTTTTTCTGATCTATTGATATAGTTTACCGCAACGCAATAAGGCATTTTATAAATTTTTTTGCCTTCGTTAATATATAATAATATTTCAGTTTTTTCATATCCTTCTTCTTATCTTTTAGTCTTATGGTAAAATTTCGAAGTGCGGAAATACATAAATACGCTACAAGGTTTCCAACAACTTAGAAGCTATAACTTATAACAATCGTATGACCATAACCTCAACTCAGCGGCGGAATGGGAACAGAGAGCAAGGAGTGAGGAAAGGAGTAAAAGCGGATATGCGAGTATTCATGTTTATAATGCCTTATTTTCGCCAAATTATTATTGAAACGTGTTTTTTTATTAAATAAATTTGTTTCTATTAACATAAAAATTTCTATTGTTAATTTATTTATTGTTCCTTAATAATATACTTAATAATATACTTATTTTAACGTAGTTTTCTAATGTATTAGATAATTATTTAACGTATATATACTTTCGACAATAGTTTTCCACATCCGTACTATTGTAAGATGCGTTTTTTTTTAATGTGATTTCCCAGTAGGGGAATTTCCTTATTAAGGAGTAAATTAACAATAGAAATTTTTTTGTTAATAAAAATAAATTATTTAATAAAAAACATGTTTCAATAATATTCTTGAGGCTTCCACAGCTTTCTATATAAAAATTATGCATTTCGGTTTCTTCCGTATCCGGAATTGGCATTCCAAGAATGGATCTAGAAACGAAGGGAACCTGCAAAATAATCTTTATGTTTCAATAATAATTTGGCGGAAGGTGCGCTTCCAGTATATTTCTAGTATAGCTCCTAAGTCAGAACGTCACGTGAACGCTCGGCCGCCGAGTTTCGACCGAAAGTGGGTCGAAAGTCGGATAAGCTTGAAGTGTATAAATCTTTGCAAGCATTAGATTAAATTAGAATACTAATCATATAATATATATGATGAATATATATGATATGATAATTTGATGAATAGACTTTCAAAGTGTGAAATTTTGCTTCTCTGTTTTCTTCTTTCTTTGAGTCACTTATTTTTCTGAGCGCTTAGTTCAATTTCAGTTGAAATCATTCTCGTATCGCGTTCTTCCGCTGATATCAAACAACTCGTCGCATCGCGGAAGATAGTATCACGTAATGACAATCACTGGCTGAAGATAAATCGTTTTCGAAAACTCCAGTGGGAAAATCGTCATGGACCTTATACCAGAAGATAAAGTAAATGGAGCCGATAATGGTGTTTGCGAAAAAGATGCCTTCAACAATGTCAATGTCGTTGTTACACGTATATCATATCTTTCAAAAATGGCTGCAGTGGACATCGAATTCAATGACGTGACATATTCAGTACCGATTCCTCGAGGTAATCAATTACTTTTTAAAACCATTCGATAAAAGCATGATAAAAGCACGACATATCTTTCCCAGGTAGCAAGCTATTTTGTCATCACCTTGCTATCAGGGTTCGTGCTTATGTGGTTCGAATTAATTAACGATGTTTATTGCTTTACGTCGCTTTTTCAATTTGTTCACTTTTATATTTTTGCAATCATTTCTTGTGACATTTTCTAACGCATGACTCATCGTTAAAAATATCGTTCTCTGGTAAAATAAGATAATGGCTGCGTTCAGCAGCAGAAAGTAGTTTTGCAATTGTTGTAAAATTCTTAAATATGATTAATTTATACGTTTAGATCCAATGAGGAAATAACTAATTAATTCGGCCCGAGCGGATTTGCAGTTGGATTAATAACGTTATGTTCTTCTATTGGTAGAATATGTAACATCAACCAATAATAGAGAATTCAATCCAAATCGATGCAAATACGTTGTATAAAAAAATCTATAAGACTCTGTATAATGCGTTATAGAAGCAGAAACCTTTCTATCTGCTCGTCATTCAAAAATTTTTGATTCTCAAATAAAAGTTTGCTCGGTCTAAATAAAACACATTCTGAACAAATACAAAGCTGCTATCTTTTTAGGAGACACAAATAGAGAAAAAGCCCCTATTATGAGATACCGGGTTCATTAACAGAAGTCTATGGGCAGAATTTAAAAAAATAATAGATCATTTTGAAAGGAATTTAATAAGCTTTAAGATAATGTTATGTAAAATTTAATTCAAATTCTATTTTTTTTTAAATTAAAGAAATGTAAAAAGTGAGCAAATCGCAAAGTTAAAAAATTGTGTTCCTAACTGTGTTACGAACTGTTGCTTCAAATTAAAGAATTAATGTCCGTTTTTGGGTCAATACTTTACTCAGGGATTGAATAAGCTTGAGTTTAGCCAAATAAGTATCAAATTTTATATTTAAAATAATGAGAATCATTTCTTTCAATTATTGATTTATCTTTATTGCAAGCAGTTTGATTGCTTTTGTTATTAATAAGTTATTTTGAGAAATATTTAGATGAATTTCAATTAGATTTTGGAATTAATGAAATTTTTGATAAAGCAGAAAAGGAAGGCAATGTTTAAAAATAAACTTTGTTTGATTAGAAATTTGATCCTTTTACTCCAACTCTTTTAGGTATTCAAAATTGATTAATTTAACAATTCCACAAACCAACACTCCTCGAAAAGATGTTTAGACTATCGCCGTACTCCTCAGCGACAGTTAATCATTAAATCTGTTGCTACTCTCTTTGTTAGCGACAGGTTTTTCAAATCAATGAGTTCGACTTGGGATTAATCTATAATTTGAAAATAATTAATAAAGATCAAAGATCAAACCAATCAATATCAAAATTAATTTATCTTCAATAAGCTAATTTTCACAGATATTTTATAATTTGGATACAAGGTTAGTCCTTCCGGTGCAAAATTCTCGCACGACTAATTGTTCACTGCTTTTATACTTTAGTGATAACAATCCCTCGCGCGTTTCTTATCACTTAAGAATGGTACATAAAAAAGATGAGGAAATCTCCCAAAATATGAATTGCTATTAAACCTGATTATCGTTTGACACTCTCTTGTATTATTTTTTTTTTATTTCAAATCTAATTATAAAATTGATAATGTTAAATAAATTTAGAATAATTATAATTATAACTATAATTACTAATTTCATGTTATTAATTTGGAAAAGAATTACTTAAGAAAATATCGTCACATAACATTAATATGAGATACCCCGAGAAATCGATAATAAAATGCAAAGTACATCAGTATTGCAATTAAAAAACTTTATTTAATATTTCTAAAATATAAGCAAACACAGTCAGTATGCGCGCAAAATGAGCATGTGATGCATTGTACCCAGGACTTGTCTTCCAAGCATCGTAGAAACAGGTATTTGATATTCATTCCGGTTATCCTTTTTACTATTGTACAGTAATATTTGTTTGTACTTCAACAACGATTTTCATTATGACGTAGATCTTATTCTATCACAAGAAGAATTTATTGTCAAATATTTACTTATTAAATAATAAACAAGGTTTAAAGGTTCATCTCAATGAAACTTGAAGGCATCCAAATTCTAAAATCTTTTTTTACAATGACTGCAGGCATGATCTAATAATGAATTTTTCACTAAATAGTTTTCAATTCAAGAGTAATAAATTCATGGTAGCACCAATAGATAGATATTTATTAGTTTAGCAGAAACGCCGTTCTCTTATATTAGGCACCTATTTCATAATAAGGAGTTTTCCTCTATTGTTCTATTTTTGTTATTGAATATCAAGAAAAAAAAAGAATAGAACAATGTTTGTGTCAACTGTGTCTCTTAACAGGGAAACAGCTTACGTTGCAAAAATTGATAAAAAATATGCCTTCGTAAGAAAAATATCCACAATAATTGACAATGACTGTAGCTAGACTTATTAAAAAAAAAAAGTATTTAATATTTATTGTATAGTACATGTATAATTTTTTTACAATAAATAAAATATTTAAAGATTATATCGAAAAAAGATTACACTTTTCGGACAGATTGTATAATTACTTTTATCGGACAAATTGTATAATTAACATAATTAATATATAATTAACAAAAAAAATTTCAAACTTTTTTTATACTTAAGCCGAAAACGTTTTACGTTTTCGCGGAATAAATGATTTCG